TGTGTCATAATAAAAGTTAAAAGTCTGGTTTATTAATAAGTAAATACAAGTGGGATTTTTCACTCACTGTAGACAGTTTGTGTTTTAAACACAATGCTAAAGTTGCTGTTTACAGCAGGATACAAAACCAGCAATACTTAAAGCTTAATTTTGTAACTCTGAATTGTGCAGTTTCATGCTGAGGAAAACTATTTAAATCCCACAGCACAGAAGTTGACCTATTAAAAATTAAACTGCTATCAATGCATTCAGTGATCGATATGCAAAGCACTCACACACTAAACACTCAGTTCTATTTTTATGCTATAATTCTGGTTCTTGTCTTTATGCTAAGTCACAAAGAAAGTAAACTTTTGGCATTAGAACAGGGAACCTCAGCTCAGGAAGGATGCAAGTCTTAGATAACTAAACACATTTTTCATAGTTGTATGTAAAGCTGATGGGTTTGGGGTTTGGTTTGCAGCAAAGGAGACTCAAATTTGTCATCCCACGCCACTTTTTTTCTTTCTTCTTTTTGTGGGTTTTTTTTTTGTTTTTTTGGGTTTGTTTTGTTTTGTTTTAAGTCAAGTTAGTCTGTCACCTCACCCTGTCTTAAATTGGTTCTGTGAAAGTCCCTGGCTCATTAGTGATGTGTGTTTGACCTTTCACACCTTAGATCAGCACGAAGTTTAATAGTTCCCACATGGCAAGAAAACTAATGCCAGATTAGATATCTATCTCACAACACGCTTTCAATATTTACTCTAATAAGAACTGTTAACTAAGCTTATTTCAGAGTTAATCTAGCCTAACATTAGCATTTGCTACTAAGTCAAAACAAATTTGTCACACAACAATTTTATTATGTGTAGGATATTTATACAGGTATGTAGATGACAAAAAAACTACACGGTGATTCACTGAAGAAGTCTTGGAGAAGTACAAAACCTAGGATACTAAATAAGTTCACACACTGAACTATGCATTCTGCAAAGAGGTACTATACTTATACATGTTTAACTTGCATGACAAGTCATGAAAGCAACCCCCTTCATGTAAGCATCATTATGTGTTTTTTTCCTGGCCCCTACACACTGCTTCCAACAGTCAAGGAACAGTGGCCAAGCTTAGTATAACATTAGTTTAATATCTTCTAACTTTTGTTTGGTAACTAGAACACGAAGCAGCTGCAAAACCCAAATGCAACAGGAACAAAAGGGTAGAAAACTTGCAAAACTAGCTCGTTTTGCACTGTGCTTCTCACATCGGCCAGTAATTTCAACTAACAGATTTGTTATACATAAAAGACTACTTCAATCACCAGTTCAGAAGGAATCACTAACCATCAGTGGTACAAAAGGCAGTCAACTGCTATGAGCTATGAATCTATTAAATGGCCAGTTTCTTATCTACAGATACTCAACTCATTTAAAGATGCAACAGAAAGCAGCATCCTTAAAGACTCTTGGCCACTACTTTTAAAGAAATGTTTTGATGAAATCTAAAAAAAACTGCAAGTTACCGAATGAAGACTTCCTCCACAGCTCAGAACAAAGTCTGGAATGGGCACAGAGTTATTTTAAAAGAAAAAGCACCTTTCTGACCAGTCCCTGTTCTTAAAATTCATGAGTAGAAAAAGTAAGAATTCACAACCCTTTCCAGTCATATACTAGAAACTGCATTCTGAATTAATTTAAAGGTATTTAATACTCTAATTCAATTTTCAGGTAAGTATACAAAATACTTAACACATGACACAAGCATTTATAAACAAGCTATGTCTGCTTTTTGTTCCTTATTTGAAAGATGTTCAAAACAGGCCTGAAAGCAAGCTAGCCAGACTAGATTACCACAAGGAGAAACAAATATGAAATCTAGAAATAGCGTTGTTAAAACATTGGGCAGTAATTCTTCCATGTGGCTAAAAGCAGGGAATTAGCCAGAGCTGGTAAAAGACTGTGCCAGGAGAATACAGAATTCATTAACAAGTCATAGTTTTATCATTCATTTTTTTAATTATTTTTTTTTTTAAACATAGCTCAAGAATAGTTTTTGGGACTAGAATATCCTTTAATCTGGGTAGCTAACTGCTACAGTTAGCTTTCTATGCTACAACCAACCTTCTAGTTCACATCTAATTCTTACACATTAAACTTGGATTTGGAAACAAAATCTGAATAAAAATTGGCCCACGACATGTTGAGCTCAACTCCTATTAAAGAGGACACGTACTGCTTTTCTGCAATGTCAACACACTTCCAGGTACTCCCAATCAGGTATATAATTTTAAACCTTAGCATCTACAAAATCCTAGAGCAAATACCGATATAACTGGAATAGTTGCTTCAGTCATGTAGTAAGATTTGGCTTTGTTTCCTATCCATGGACATTTTTTCCAGTTTGTTAACTTATTTATTCTTTTACCCAAACTAATAAAAAAATTGAAGTCCCCTACACAAGCTGGCAAATTAACGTATCATTAGAGAAGATATTGCTACAAGCCTCTGTTGTAGTATTTAATAGTTTAAGTAATTCCTGACTGAGAAGTTAGTTATCCCTATAAGCAAATCTTAATCCTACAACATAAATTATTTAAGAGATTTCATTAATTAGGCATCTAACAACTTGGCGCTTGTGAATTGAGGAGACTCAGTTTTATCCATGAACACTCTTCTCAGTAAATGTAGTAGTTAATATACATCATAAAACTGACCTAAGCAAAGCTCATTTACTTCAAATTCACTATCAAACCTATTAGATATAATTAATTACTAAGAACTCTTAATGTTATAAAGACGCCTATTTAGAATTATCAACAGTGAATTTGTGCAATTCTCTCAAGTTCAGAATCAAAGTAATTCCCTAGTAATGAGATTACCCTTTATTTTATAAAGCTTTATTTTATAAACTAGTCAAAGGAAAACAGAATATTTGAAAACAGTTAACAGTCATCCAGCATGACTTCATAAGTGGCTATGACAATGTATAGTTCTGGGATCTTAAGTGTTCTGGCTACTTCTATACGCTATTTTAATAGATACTTTAAGATTAAAATTACTAGAGGAATAAGCGCTTGGCTCAAACAATACCTTCACCATTCTTGGTAACTATGGTGTTCTCATTACCTATTTTAGCAAGGCACAGGTTCTCCTAGAAAATCAGTACTCTGTCCAAAATTAGTAACAAATGCAACCACTAGACTCCTTTCCACCCCCGCCCCTCTTTCTAGTAAAAGTACACACAGTTCAACAACCTGTGACAGGTTTTGCTAGTGAGACCACCACATTTACAGGAAAATGATGGTTTAAAATTTCCATTCTGTTTAACGAAAGATATCCATACATCTAAGACTCTAAGTCAGCTTCCAACAGATTTGCACAATCAGAATCACCTCCTTGGATATCTATTTTAAAGCATTAGTTAGAAGCCAATGTCCAAGTGTGGTTTCAGGCTGCAAATCCAAATTTTATATTGACACTTAAGTAGGTGCTATAGGTAAGAGAAAAGTCATTTAAGAAAGAAGGGGGAAAGGAGAGGGAGAAAATTTGTTTTGGATACACCACTGCATCTCCTATAGTTGGACAATCCTTGTGAAACTAGAGGTTGCAAATTGCATTTCTCTCCATTTGCCTCTTATGCTGCATAAAGGAACACTGTCACTCCCTTGGTGCAGAGAATTTTTCTCTGTCAGAGCTTTCTGTTTGGCACATAACAGTTTAGAATCACAGAATGGTTTGGGTCTGAAGGGTCCTTTAAAGACCATCTAAGTCCAATCCACCCGCTGTGGGCAGGGACATCTTTCACTAGATCAGGTTGTTCAAAGCGCCGTCCAACCCGACCTTGAACACTTCCAGGGATGGGGCATCCATGCCATCTCTAGGCAACCTATTCCAATGTCTCACCACCCTCACAGTAAAGAATTTCTTCCTTATATCTAATCTAAATCTACCCTCTTTCAGTTTAAAACCATTACCCCTTGTCCTATCCCTACAGGCCCTAGTAAAAAGTTTATGCACAGTGATCATAGAAACAACTTCAAAAAGGACTTAGAATTACTTAGTCCTCTACCCTCCCAAAAACCTGTAATCTGCATTTATGTTATTCCTGACGAATTTGTTTATAACCTGCTCTTCAAAACCACAAGGTTACTCTGTAACCTGCCCAACAGTCTGTGTAGCACTTTATGTCATTACATTAGAAGGTTTTACATAAATATTTAACTTAACTCTTTCTATTGCTACTCATTACTTAAAGCTTATTACTTCCTGCCCTATTCAACAGAGGTACAAGTCACAGATTATTCTCTGTTCTTGCTAGTACCCTTTCAGCTCCCCAAGTAGTCCACCTCTGAAGCAGGCAGCTCAAAAGCAGACATAGCATTCCAGTTGAGACTGGAAAAGATGGGGTACTTCCCAAAAGGGAAGGACTATTTGTTATAAAAAAAAGGACACACATTTTTTTTGCAAAAATTTAACCAACTGACTTTTAGAAATTTAATCTAAAATGTCTCCCTAGCTCGCTTGCAACGCTGTTACTTGAGTCTCAAAATTGTTAGTCACAAGGCATGTTGTTTTCAGCTTCTCCGATACACACATAGGAGCTCTAACACTGCAGAATTCCAATTTGTCATCAAGGGGAGAAAAACTTCCAATTAAAAAATTAAACTAGCTTTCCTGTTGTCTTGTTGGTACACACATACACACACTCTTTATTTT